GCCTCAACAAGTAACTCTGTCACCTGCATTCTTCTACACCAGAAGTTATTTGCTCTTACCACCTTTTGCCAGTTTGTGCTCCTCCCTTTAACAAGTCTGCCACTTTATTTTTTTCATTTCCAAGTAATCAAGACAATGGGAAAGCAGCACTTGAGTTACACTTGTCACAGCAATCTATAGACTGGGGTAGGTGTAAAGTCTAATGCAAATTAGTTTGGTTGGACCCTGTGGTATGAGGCAACACTGACCTTATCAGATCTTTCCTCCTGCAAACTTGCAGTGAGAATATCCAGCTTTGCAAGTTGGACCCTCTTCCCCGGTAACAGGCAAACACAATGGGAGCTCCTTCCTCCAAACTGGGAACAAAGAATGATGTTATTTCCTATGGTTTGCTCTGGGAGAACTCCATAGTGACACCCAATCATAGCAGCAGAAACGAGAAACACTTAAGTTATTTACTAATACTTTATTTTAAAAATTATTACAAAATATTTTTTAAAGTTCTTAAGACCAAAACAGCATAATACATTAAAAAAGGCCACAGGTTTAGAATGGAAAAAATATTTAAGCATTTCAAAATTATTTAAATGGAAATTCAAGGCAACACTAGCAACAAAACTGTATAAAATTTTTATTTTGTATCTATAAAACTACTGTATTATCATCCTGATTTAATAATCATTAAAAGTCACTTAAATTCTCAAAGGTATTCAAAGTGATAGATAGTTCTGAACAGCATAAAAATTAGTATCTAGAGAACTGCTTATGTTTATAGCAACAGACTAAAACAAAGATGAATTTCCATCTTAAAGGCACTACCGGCATCTTGATTCGTTACAATTTTATATAACCTTTCAAAAATTTTACAAAGTTATTTCCCTTCAGTGTCAAAAGCTTGGTATTTTTATTGCACCAAAGTGAACGAGGATCACTGTGATGGCCATTATGCAAAAACACCTTGTGCAGAGCTCTGAGAATTGTGTGAGACGGCTCACTGCTTTTTCAAGTTGGAGGGTGCAAAGGTAGAACTCAATTGTAACAGACCACAACCCTTCCCTGCTATTTTTAAGCACAGAGTGCAAGCAGTAAGGCACAATTCCTTCACATGTTTAAGAACCCAAAGGGCAGTGGTAGCATTGTGATTTTAATGTGGGATAAATGCCAAACACAAAAATTAACATTCGCAATCTACACAATGCATGGGCAGATTTTCAGAGCAGAAACTCACAGTCCAGCCACTTAACAAGTCCTCGCATGTCCTGGAGAATCCTCTGCACTGATTCTCAAGGCACCGTAAACAAAGCCTGAAAGTGGGTGCAGGGCCTTTAAACATTTTTGGACGGGCTCAACTGGAAAAGACGAACGTTTTTAATGTGTCTGAGCAGGCTCACACCTCCACTGCCAAGCACCATGGTGAAGGAGGGAGAAGACAATACCCAGGTAGATGTACGGGGCTAGCTGCTTCTTTCCACAGGTTTTACCACCAGTTAAGATTGTACAGAGATGGTTATTGTGCAAACAGAAGAAGAAATTCAAGATAGTTGCCTGTAACAGCACCTCTACCACAGCTCCCACCACTCTCCTGAACAACCCCTAATCCACTTTGGTCAAAATCGGCCACCTTAAGGTAAGCAATTTAAATCAAGTAGGCTGATTTCATCAGGAGCAGGCTGGGAAAGCAGCAGACCGCTTTGCTGATGGAGCACGGGAGGGGCAAGTGACATCCAGCTACATGTGCAGAGCTCCTGCAAAACCAGATGTTTAATCCAGCTCCAGCACCTTTCTCTGGGATCAGTCTAATTCAAAAGACAGACATTCAAAGCCTGGATCCGACACCAGAAGCATCAAAGGGGGCATGTCAAGGCTGCAGGAGACCAGTCTGCTCAGCCACTGCAGCAAGGAAGCCTCTCCCCCACCTCGCCTGAGGGAAGGAGCTGGGAGGGACACCCACCTGCCCCATTACCTCGGGAAGCTGTTAAAGCAGTTAAGGAAACGACCCCGCAGAAGCACAGGACAGCATACACACTAACAAACCTGCTTCTCAACTACTTTAAAACAGAACAAAAAGAACACCTCATACTTATAAGCCCAGGATTAATAGTGCCACCATATAGCAACTGCTGTGTTAGCCAACAAGTGGTTGGGAAGCAACAATTCAGCAATTGCCTTAAACATATAACCAGTATGTGGCTTATTTGCTCCCAGTACTTAACTACTATGTGAGAGATTAATACCAGCTAGGCAGTATCTGGGATGGAGCACTACATATTGTTGTAGAGAACAGCAGGACTCTTCCTATTAGTGATACTTGGGAAAACAACGAAGCAGTTTCCCAAAGACCGCCGTTGGCTGTTTCCATTGGCTGATGGCAACGCTTGCATCCCTTTCAGTCAGAGATGGAATCTGATCCTCGGATGTATACATGGATCAGTCAGCTGGTGAGAGAACCTACTTGGAAAAGCTAAAACGAAAATTAAAAACATGCCCATAGCCCCTCACTCTAACCCCCCAAAACACACCAGGGGTGCCAGCATGTATGTTGTAGGAGAATCCATCAAACCATTCTGCAAAGGCTGGCAGTACTTGTTTCAAAAGGCCTAATGGTCAGATCATGGGAGTCAGGAGATTTCAGTCACTTCTTCTGACACCAACTCCTTGTGGCACCTTTTCATAAAAATAACTTGCTCTGTTATTTCAGTTTCTCTGTGAAGTATCAGCAGTAAATTTCATAGGTAGAGAGCCAAGGCAGAGAGATGACTTTACAGATCCCTTTTGGTACCAGTATGTCCAATTCAGGAATGGACACCAATAACAAAGCACTTGGGTGGGGAAAAGTCTATAGAAAAAGCAACCAAAACCCAGAACTCTATTCACATATTTTTGAGCTGAGAAAAATTACAGGAAAAAATACTTCAAGATAAAAGTCCTGTCACGGTGCTGCATTGCTTAATAAATATCAGCAGCACAGTGTTACTCTTACACTATATTTACAGCTTTTAATTATAGATCAAGACTTAGAAGCTACAGACATTTTGATGTGAAAACAAATTAAGTGGCATCCTGGGCAATAAAAAAAAGGGAAAAAACCCACCTTTAGAATGTTAATCATAGATATGGACACAATCCCCAAAGTAAGACATTGCAGATCGTAGCAGAGATATGTCTCATTATGGCAAGTTTCATATCACCAGTTACACTGTAAACAAAACATCTGTAATCTACCCAGTTTTCAAAGATAGTTATAGCAAGCTCTGTATACCTAGACTGAGATCAGGTTTTAGTGCAAATGGACACTAATAAATACAAAGAAAAAAAAAAAGCCAACCCAAAGAGCATTTCTTCTTCACAAAGCAGGAAATTCTATGAAGTAAAGCATGTCTTTTGTGCATGGCTCTGAAACCAAGCTACAGCTTTGCTTCACACCACCTGTCAAAATTTTACATCCTCCAAGCAAAGTGTAGTGTTAGGCTTAAGTCTCAGACCTTAGAGAGAGAACATCACAAACTCACATCAGAAAGTGGCAGCACTGGAAAAAAACACTTTGACCTTCCTTTACAGTACTTTGTCCTGTAACAGCTTCCTCATCCTTTTCCAAATGCAGCTTCCTCAGCCAATTTCTGAAGGGCTTGGTCTGCCACAACAGGTTATAGGACTATAGGACTATTAATTTGTCAGACTAGGGTATTGATGAAATGGGGTTAATGCCTGGAAGACACAGCAAATGTCACGAGCATTCAGACAAGAATTGTTTTTGCATAATCAGCTTTTTCTCATTTGCTTTGGTATTTTGGAGCATCTCCTGGCTTACAGCAATTTGCCCTACTTTCAAAGGCGTTCCTCTTAAGTGAGGTCTAGCAGTCTTGCTTCTGCCTCAGACATCTGAAAAATGCCTTTTCACCACTTTATTTCTTTTATAGCCATCAACATCTGGTCTGGTATGTCCATCACTTGTCTAATACATGTTGCATCAGTAGTGTTTCTTGCAGTCCTACAGCCTGTCGCTTTTAAGACAAATCAAGGGTACAAGTGCTTATTTACCTGTTTACCAGCTGATCTAGTCAGCAACAAGAAGTCTCATGCTAGTGCCATATTTATAAACAAAGAAAACTGTGGGGTTCATAACCATTCTGGCAAAACTTGTCATTTACTATGCATAAACAAGCTGCATAGGCATTAACCTTGCAAGTAATATTCACCAGGATAGTACCAACGTGCTATAACATTTTTCCCATAGAGGTTCAGATTGCCACTTTTTGGGTTACTTTGTGAAAATACTTATTCTTCATCTTTTTTTCTCTGACAGCTGGCTTTTCAAGTTTCTTCCTGCAACTTTTATAGCTTTCAAAACAATCTGAAAGAAGATTCTGGCATACAAGTCCAAACTTCAATGATCATGGGGTGCAAAACTGTCTCCTTAATATACTATTACGTTATCTTCCCCATAAAACCCCTACACTCGCTAGTGCATTAAACTCATCTCCACAGATGGAACTGACACGTATGAATAGTAAAAACAAAACCAAACCCCTTAGGTAAAGATAAGCATTTCTGTAAGGCTCCAATTAGGTATCCCTTTTACATTCACAGTTTGACCAGTAAGTACAAGAATGAATTCTGCCGTACTAATTTATAACTCGTAACAGAAGTATCTGGTCCATTTATACAGAAAATATCTTTAGGGTATAGCTCAGAACTTATGCATCACACATTAACCTTTATTAGTCACCTCTGTAAAATCAAATCAGCACACTGTTGTCCTTAAGTTATTCTATTTAGACACAAGTTTTTTTAGTGTATGTCACCTGGACAGGTGGCAGGACCAGTAACCTTAGAACATGATGCTCAAGATGTTATCGCTTGACCTAAGGATCTATACAAATTTGTGATGAGCAACGCATACAGAATTGATGAGAAGGAAGAGACAGAAGTTGTTACCTACAGTGCACTGAAGTTCATTTTAGTTTGCTCCATTAAAAAAAAAAAAAAAAAAAAAGAGAAAGTTAGCTATGTTTATTCAGTGGCTGATTTTCTGTGGCACTCTGAGTGTTGCCAGGGTTTTCAGGGCATCCATCGATGTTTTGTGTCCGACTGTGAAAATACTCTATAATAGTTTCAACTAAAAATGCACCACTTGCAAGAAATCCAAACACCTGTGAAAGTGAAAGGAATATAGGATTTTAAAACGTACAAACATTAACAGTATTCTAACATTTTTTGGAGAGATTTGCTGGACTATTTATATACATTAATAATGCTTATATAGTAAGATTACAGTCCTCCTTAAATCGGAGGTTCCATATAAATTAGAAACAGATCAGAAATCATAATCCTAGCACATTTAATGCGGAAGTTTTTACAGTTCTCATCCTCTTAATCAAGCTTGAATCATACCGTATGTTCTAAATAGCCCTTAATAGTAAAAGTACATTCATTTTATTGCAAAAATTAGTTATTAAAGAAGCATGGCATTGGTCGTATAGCAGAGTATCTGTCCAAGAGATGGCTTCTAATTCAAGGGAATACATGGAAGGTAAAGGGAGATAACGTCTGCAGAGCCTAAGCAAGTCCTTATTGGGTCAGCAAGGGGGGTTGAAATGACATTTTGTTTTCATTATTCATTTCATTTCATTATTAGTCGTGGCAAGATAGTGATAAGGAGAAGGTTGGTTTCAGCAGCTGCTTTGAAATAAGGAAACACATGCATTATTCTAATTTTTACCTAAATTTTACACAACTGTTTTTTTTCCCCAAAAGCAATTCAACACTAGTAAGTCCTAAATCACAATAGTTTTTGTTTTTCCAGCACCAGAAAAAAAACCCTGAAAGACTTTATACTCAAACCATTAGGTCTGAATATATCAATGTCACAGATGATGACTACATAAAAGTGTGTACCTCTAATAGCTTGTGCTGCCTGTGGAACAGAATTATTTTGCTTTCTTATCTAACTCATTTTTTCTCACATATTCACAACTCCAAGGTTATTCTCAAGAAGTGCCAAATGAGTGAGGAATTACAACATCCACAGCATCCCAAAGCCTCTTCAGTGTTCCCTGGGATATGCATGCCTTGTTGCTCTTATAACTATTTCTGTCACTGAGGAAACTTCTGCTCTCACTGCAGCCTTTGCAAGTCAGCGTTCTCCACATATGCTTTATAATGTCTGGCAAAAGACATGGTTTCTTGCTGACTTTGTGAGGGGGTGGCATTATGAGAGGACAATTGAGGAAAAAAGTGGGCATTTCAGAGATAGGGTATAGGAGAACTGGGGAAGCTGAGAGATGAGTCACAGATGACAGGGAAGAATACGGAGCCAAGGCAGTGGGGTCTGAGGAATGCAGAAGCAAGCCACAAACGCTGGGGAGCTGCAAGTGCATGCAGAGCTTTCCAGCTCTTTGATTTCCCACAGTAAGTTTCTGGAAGGTCTGAAATAGCTAATTCCTCCTGAAATACTGCAATGCACTGAATTCTGTTCCCTGCCCAGTTTTTTCCCTGCAAACTGAGTGAGGTTTAGAGGGCAGAGAAATTAGCACACAAGATAAATACAAAATAAATTATGCAATTTTAAGACTTACACATGCAGCTTTTTCAACAGCAGACCCAGAGCTGGTTGCAGTAAGCACTATTGATGCTAACAGAAAAAAGAAACCTATGGCTGGCATGGCCCAAAAATTCTGCAAATATAAAGAAAAAATGAATGTTGTAGAATTGTAGATATACTACTTGGAAAAGAAACAAGCATCATAACAGCAGCTCAGTTAATCTGCCAGTGAATTTATGCTTTGAAACTTTGATGCTAATGGGAACTTCAGAAAATGTATTTTACAGCTATATGCCAAACATTCAACATTATCAACTACTTAAAAGAGCCTGCATTACATACTCACCTGTTTTTGTATTGTTTAAGTATTTCATTCATTTAATCTAACTTCTTTCACAATCAAATCCAGCTCAGGTCAACCATGCTAGCATTATTCCCTGTGTAAAACATCTGGGAAACTGGAAACTTGTAAGTAAACGTGCTTATTCAAATCTCCTGCTACACTGCCTTATCTGTACCTTCACTTAAAAAAACCCTACTGTTTGCTCTGAAGACAAATAGGAAGGGACACTCCTACGACACTATAATATTGTTACTGACTTTACAGAGCAATTTTGTGCCACTGCTGGATCTTCTGCAATATAAAAGCATGAACTGTAACAAGTATGATTATTACCAAAAAGGAGGCAGGCTACACCCAGTAGAAAAATAGATAGGGTAAATGGGCAAGTTACAAGTATCATGCTGGCAGTAAACTGTGTTCCGTGTACATACACATATGTGATGACTACACAGTGGTATTAGTCTGCGTGAAAGACTTTCACACAAGTCCTAAAATCCAGCAGGTAACCAACATGACAATTTTGGAAAAGTTGTCAATATAAAAGGGACTCTCGAAGTTGACTTTTTTAACTATAAGCTACTTTAATCTGCCCTTTAAATAGAGAAGAAGAGGAGATTCATTCTGCATAGCCTTTTTACTCCACAATAGTCCTTAAGCACTTAGAAGAAATGGTTTGTTCTTAAAAAAAAGAGCAAATAATGTCCTTACCACTCTCTGTACTTTATCTTCCCCAAATGTTTCATATACATCAGTGCAATACACACACAGGATCAGGAGGCTGAAAAGAAACGCACTGCAGCTCATGAATTCAAAGAAGTAAAGTCCGCCACACTTGATGCAATCCTCCACAATTTCTTCACAAATAACGGCCAGAAGAGAGAGAATCTGCAAACAAATAACGTGATTGAGTTGGATCAAGTCTCTAATATCTTCAGCAAATAGATGTCTCTGATATGAACATTACTGAAGACAGCTGTAAGGAAAATCCTCAATCTACAAAGAACATGGTAAAATTCTGTGCTCTTTTCTTACAGGCAGAAATAATTATATAGTGACACGGTTTACATTTGCTGTTAAAGTTGGTCAATAAACTACACTCAGGTAAGCTGAGCACACACCACCAAATACAGCCTTCTTCATTAGACAGTCAAGATTCCTCATGTGTGGTTTTGTGCAATTGCCAGGTGGAAGGAGAAGAGGCAGCAGGGAGAGCACACATCCTGCTCAGAATGAGCAAAAATGCTATTGCTTACTACTTAAAACTGCACCGAATTTTAAATGCATTTGCGTTCAGGGCAGAGAGGGAAATTGGATGGCATTGACCCACTCAACTACCTCCCTGACAGTTTACAGCTGATGTTACCTCCCTTTATAATATAAACTTCAGAGAAAGCGCCTGTAGGTAGCTCACGTGCTTGTAACAGAAGCTCAGCTGTAGTTGTAGGAATCAAAACTTTAAACTATGTTTAAGCTATGGGACAGTGTTTGATCTATGCAGGAGCTTATGTTCACCTTCCTGCGACAGTATGTTTTGAGGAAAGAACATGAGCTAATTCCTGTACAGTCACCATAGATCTGCTGCTGGATTTTTCTTCTGTTTTATCGTACAAGAAAGAATATTGCTTTATTTAAATGTTCTCTCATTTTGAACCCTTCTTGCTAGTTTCCTTCATCCCATAAAGTTAGCACAGGATTATAGAACCTGTAGTAAGGCGTTCACCAAATTAAAACAAAACCGTTAGTAAGAATCAGACTCGGTCATAAAATTGAGACTGATAGAAGGACGATGATCCTATTTTTAATAAAAGTATATGGGTAATAACGAGGTTGACATTCTTCATTAAAAAAAAAAAAATCATGTTCTTGGAAAATAACTACCAGCCTTCAGTTTCAGTTTTTCTGACAGTAAAAATAAGAACAACAATTCAGCATGTGGGAACTGTAAATTCCCCCTGCTAAGCCAGACCTCAGAAAGGCACTTCAAAGCATCATGTTTTGAAAATGCTGCAGTCATATAAAGTAAACAGGATCTCAGAAAGGGAAAGAACCTGAGCTGGGAAACTTACTATCAGGCCTCCACATACTTCCCTTCTCTCCCGCAGAGGCTGGCAACGCAAAGTTCTGGGCAGCCCTTGCACCTAAAACAGTGACTACAACGGCTGTCTGGGGAATGTTTTGAACTCCAAATTTCCAATTTTTAAGTATTTCTTTGCATTTCAAAAGATGTGCTTACAGCTGCATCCAATGACTTTCAATTTCACATTTTTCACAAGGTCAGATAAAGCGTGAGATACATTTTCATGTGTAGTTCTAGCTCTTTTTATCAGCACTGAGAATTGAATACCATCACTTTCACCCAGGATAAAACAGAACTGAAAGGAAATAAACCTGCCCTTAAAAGAATTTATGAGCCCAGATAACCATAATATGATCTAAATAACTGAAAAAGCCTCTCTGCTGAGCATACAAACAAGTAGAAAAAAATCCCACTCAAAGAGCCGCTATAAAGGGTTCAGTGTCAAATAAATGAGATTTACCAAGTGGGACTTCTCCAAGTCAATATTCCATTTTTTATTAATAAGATGAATAACAAAATAGAGTACATCATTGATTAAAGTTCTTCAAGCCAAAGCTTTTTTGAAGTAGTGTATCAACAGCACATTTATAAGCTTCCAGAGAGTTCTGCTTGGGTTTCTTAACTTGCTTCTTGGTATCACTACGAGAAACAAAAGGGATTACTCTGTTGTCCTACTACAAAAAAATGAACTTTTTAAAATACCACTAAAAGAGTAGTTCCTAACTTCGGTTTGTATAGTTGGAACTACATAACATAGCAAGGAGTGTTTTCTAGTATTAGCCAGAAGATTATCGTCTCTATTATTCATCCTGCCATTAGATAGAACATGAGCCACTGTAAACGAGCCAGGAGATTACACATTTCATTGTTTCCCAAGAACGGTTGAGCTGGAGATCGACTTTTGTCTGTCAGCGTTAGTCCTAGGATGAGTGCAGCCCTCTGGAGGCTCACATGAAGCAGCCAAAGCTCCTTCTGTTTTGTTTTTATCTCTGCCTCCTCCACATCGATCCCATGGAGAATCCCTAGCAGCTAATACCCAGAATATCACTATTGCTTTTGTTTGAGCTGTCAGTAACAAGTGGAGAGGGGCAGGTCAGTAGTCCCTAATTTTCTTAAGAGCTAAACCTTCTGGGCAGAGTTTCTTTCACCCTGAAGCCCTGAAGAGGGTGACAACTGAAGAGAAGAGCAGGCAGCCGCTACCTTCCTTCCCTCTCGCCCAGAGCCCTGCACTGTTGTAGATGCGCTGCCAGCGATGGTGGGGAGGCAGAGGTTACCCGGGGACAGAGAGAGGCTGGCACCAGGCTTGCTCATTCCTGCAGCAAAATCCACACCTCGCCATATGCACGCACTGCTTGCTTTCCTGTGTGCTGTGAAGGTAAAAGTATCGTTGGAGATGCACTTTTAAGCTTTTTTTTCTATTATTATTATTAGTCCTATCTATCTGTAGGTACACCAGAAATTAAATGTCTTCATCTGTCCCTTACCAGCAAAAAGTTACTTGTTGATACTGACATTACTGTTGGAAGTTTCTACACAAGAGCCAAGTTTCTAAAGTAGATTTAATAAGTGAAGGCTACAAAAGAATGCTACAAAAATAAAGCAGATGAAGGAATTTTCCAACAGGCCTGTGAAAACGCTCAGCAGTGATATTCTTCTAGTTCAGATGGGTGCACATATTACTTCTGTAAGTCACCATGATCAAGGCTACTATAGGAAGTGAACAGCTCAGAAAAAGAGCGGATGTTTAAGACTGAATTACAATTTTCCTTTCCAGATAGGGCATTTTGGTTGAAGTCAAACAATAGTTGACAAGTGTTTCTGCTTGAGATAAGAATTCATTTCTACCTCAATCTTGGCACAATATGTGGCGTGCCATTTACCTTTGTGCAGAATTTAAACCAGTCATGGACCAACAAAAACACTCCTGTATAAAAAAAAAAAACAAACAACAACCAACCTAGAAACCCATGCAATAAGCATGCCTCCTAGCATCCTTTTTGACAGTTACATTTTCATGATTTCATTTGCCCAAAAAGCTTTTAAAAGCATGCTAAGAGTACAATCTATGCCATTATTAATCAGAAGAAAAGCATTTCTAAGGTCTAAACCCCAATTTTCTACAGGTGATTTCATAGTATTTTGTAAAATACTTGATCACTTTTATAAGGAAGACAGTTACAGTCTGTGTATATATATACACAGACTATATATACACACACACACAGAGTGCAATACTCTGTTCAGCAGTCCACGCGAGTGATTATCGATGCATAATCCGAATAACAACTCACAATCACTATTATAACACGCAGAAGGCTAAGAGATGCTAATGACCATTGCCATCACTTTACCAAAACAGGAACATTTCTCTTACTGTAGATACTGAGGCTTCCACCTTCAGCAACTTCTGAGGCTTGTTTAAAGTATTTTGACCAAGAAATCCAAGATCTGTGCATTTTGGTAATGGGAAACAAGGGGGGGGGAGAGGGGGGGATGACAATGACTGTTGGAAATTAGAAGGGTGAATGACTGTAATTCCATTTTCTTTTTCCTCTTGTTGGAGGACAGGTACAGGCCATAAACTTCTAATTCTTTAGGAGCGTATCAAGCAGCTATCCATTGTGTTTAGGATAATCATAATTTTCCTTTTTCCTACCTAGAAAGCTTTTTAAATAATGCCTCTGTTCAGGTAAACAGTTTAAGACTTTAATACACCAATAAATTTGTGTACATAATAGTTTATTTTAGTCTGTGAACCTACTTACATAAATGATCTGCTTGTCTGGGAGCAACAGCCAGCAGATCTTCCTTTACTAATCTCCAGTAGATGAAGTAAAAGTTTCTATCCTGTTATATTTATCTATTTAAAGCACGCTTGGGTGTGATTTTTTTTTTTAACACACTTATTTTTGGCAGTGTTACCATTACCTTTACCAGTACTCAAGAATCTTATGTTTATGGTTGAAGGTTTTTTTGACCGTGTACGACACAAAATTTAAAAACTGAATGTCCTCTTCTCTGCAATGGTGAAGTAATGAGAAAGGGTTGGAAATCACCTACAATTCCCGTGAGCATGAGACATCTGACTAAAAAGCCACTTTGGTGGCTGGAAAATGTACCCTGACACACATTTACAGTCAGCTGCGCCTTCCCACTGCTGGTTTCACTACCTCCGTGCCAGTACTTCAGAATGATGTTCCTCGCGTCCTTACCAGCACAGTCGCACTGGCATGTTTTGGAACAGTCCATGGCCCAATGCAGAACGAATAGGAGTCTGAATAGGGTGCCCAACTGCTGAATGTGTTCAGGAATAACATTACCCATAGCAAAAAGCAAGCAGAATATTAGCCTTTTATTTCCTGGTGGGCATAGGACTGCCCAACACGAAGCGAAGCACTGCGATGTCTCATACAATAGGCCACCATCAACACTGCACGTTTCTGGTGCAATTTTGTACCATGAGTCATGGGAGAAATAAGCACCCCGGTTTTATCACAGACAGCACAGCTTGATAAGCTGGCAAACGGGCTGCAAGGGCAGCAGGAGAGGGAGGTCTGGATCTGATGACCAGCAAGCCCTTCCCAGTTTCTACTGCCCTACCCAATGACTTCTACCTCCTGTTTTCATCCAACATGGCCCTCAGAAGAAAATATTAAGTTTCCTGTGAAGTTTCCCTCTAATTTTAAAGAGTTAACGACCGCAGTCAGCTGAACCATGCCGGCTGCACCACTGAACCTTGGTCGCACGACGCATGCAACCATCAGATGTCAGCACCGGCTCCTGTAGCTATAACACGAAAAAGGAATAAGGCTGTTACTTCCCCACCATAAAATAATCTGAACCTGTACAGACGGCGGCACTCTAGGACACTAGACCAGCTTTCCAGCGGAGTTACATGTCTGTGCTGCTTTAGTGACCAACAACAAAGGTGCGCTTTGCCTCCGCTACGCCTTAAGTCAGGCTTTCTGGTGGAGCGAGCCCTTCCCTGGCCGACAGAAAGAATTCCCCTTAAGTCTGTGTACAGCCATCTCACCCAGCCTGCGCTTTGCCAGTGAGGAGCTTAATTTTTAAGCGCCGGCGGGGGGGGTATCCTAAAGCCGGAGGTCATCACAACACGCTCATTCCTACACCAAAGCTGCGCAAGCGGTGACGCCTGTGAAGCAGGATCGGGAGCGGGCCCAGCCGGCAGCGCGGCGCCAGCTGCTCAGCCCC